AAAATATTAAAAAATATTTTAAACATATATATGAATTTCACATTTAAATTTAATATGATAAATATTATACGAAATATATCTAGATTAAAATAAAATTATTGTAAAAAATGAAATACAAATGATACAAGTTTCTTTTTTTTTATTTATTTTAAAATACATTTTAGAAATAAATATATCAAACAAATTTTATTTTTTTAATCTCTAAAACAATTTTCAAAATTAAAATTACCAAACATCTTTTTTTTCTTCTTCAAAACAGATTTTCTAATAATTAATTCATAAAATAGTTTTTAAAAATTTAAAATCAAAACTCATTCAAACAAATCATTAGCATTTGAGAATTTTTTTTACAGTGTAGATTAAGTTTGGCCAAAATTTTAGACATATCTTACATATAAAATATGTCAAATTTGTAAAATCTAGCCTAATTATTTTAATATTCTCTTATATTTATTTAATTTTATTAGTTATTTAGTAATTATTATTTTTCTACTTTTATATTCAATTTATTTTTTCTTTTTCATTAATTACTAAAAAAACTAACTTTATTTATCTCCACTAACTTTTTAGAATTTTTAGTTATTTAATAATTAAATTTCTCTCACAAACTTCTTATACTCATTTCATTTTAATTGTTTAGCAAAAATTAACTCTCTTCCACTAATTTCTTATATTTATTTTATTATCTAATAAAAGTTAACTTTGTTTTCACTAACTATATCAGATTTTGTAATTATCATATTTTTATTAAGAAAATATTTTATAAAGTTTTTGACAAGATTTTAATGTTGGTCTGTTATGTTTTTATCATTATATTGAGTTATAGTCCTACAGTATTTCTTTAAGAAATTTCCGCAAAAATCCTCTTTCTAATAATTCATTAATTAATTAATTAATTAATAATTTAAATATGTGGGGTTAGTAGGAAATTATTATTATGTAGGGATACTGATGTAATCGAATCTACTCAAAAGTCATATTTCCCATACAATTTAATAATTGATGTAAATGTTTCTATTATTGTACTTTGTTTGATGTGTTTTTGTTTGTCTGTACTTATAATAAATAATATAGTAGTTGTCGGCATTAATAATAAAAAAATTGTGTTTGTTGATGGAATTTATGTGGAGATTATCAGTTGAGAATTTTAAAGTTGGAGATTTTTTCTTTGATGATAATGGAAATAGAGAGAAAAATTCTCCTGATAACATTTTTGAACGGGAAATAGAGAGAAAAATTTGTGTTTTGTAGATTTTCTAACTCTAATTATATTATTTAACTTATATATATATATATATATATAATATATAATTAAATAATTTGTATGTTTTTTAATAATAAAAAGTTAATATATTGTGAAACGAAAAGTCATTATCCAAGTACCTAACCTTAAAAAAGCACACTCATCTCTTCTTCTTTTCTCAATTCACTCTCTCTCCTCCATTCATCATCTTATCCGTTTTCATCACCATAACAACAATCATTCTCTTTTGTTCATATTGCTTTATGGTAATTACTCTTTAACTGCAATGTACTTTAATTAGTAACTTGTTTTCCATTCAATTAGTAAATTATGTTAGCAATAATTCATATTCAATAGTAGTATTAGTTTTATTAAACTTAACCTAATTAGTGTAGGTTAACATTTTGTCCACGTGACATTATTGTTGTGTATATAAACAAGTGTAGTTGTCAATAAAGTGTGTGTGTAACCATTCAATGTAACCAATTCTGCAAGAGTAATAGAAGTTTGTTATTCAATTCTCTCTCTTTTTCCATCTCCATCTTCTTCATCTTGTGAACCAACAATTGGTATCTAGAGCTCAAGTTCAGATCCATGGGGAAACACGAGTGAACGATGAGGCGTTGTGTGATTGATTTCATTTCTTTTTTATTGGAATTGTAATAGAATCACATTTATTGATCATGCGGGATTGAGAAACACTAGTGTTTTGTGAGATCTTAGTTAATTGCATAAAGTTGAAGACGAATAGAAACAGTAATCTGCGTACTAAGTTTCCAGTGTTTGATGGCAAGAACTGGAATTGGTGGATGATTCAGATGCGTGTGTTGTTTGTCGCTCGAGATGTTCTTGATCTCGTCAACGAAAATTACGTTCTAGTTGCACTTCCGACAAATGCAACAGATGCGTAGAGGAATGCTCAGTGTGATCTGAGGAAGAAGGATCATAAGGCGTTGTTCCACATCCATCAGTGTATGGATGTGAACGTGTCTAGAAGATCATTGATTCGACGACGACAAAGGCTGTGTAGGACACACTGGTATGGTGCTACGGCGGTGATGCATTAACAAAGAAGGCGAAGCTTTAGTCTCTACGTAGGAAGTATGAGAATCTCAGTATGAAAAACAATAAGAAGGTACTTGACTACATCTCTTGCGTGATTCTGATCACAAATGAGACGAAGTCGTATGGAGGAGCTCTCTCTGAAGAAAAGATGATTGTGAAGGTATTTAGATCTCTTACTTTTCAACTTGATTACATTATTGTACAATTCAACATTCTAAGGATCTTAGCACCATGAGAATTTAATAGATGCAAAGTAGTCTAAAGGCATAAGAGTTGCGTCTGACTGATAGAAACTCTAAAATAAAGGTAGAGCAGCAGGCTCTAAAAGCAGATTCTAGTAAGAAATATCAGAAGCAGTCCTAGTCAGAAGCCAGGAAGAAATCTGATGGTGTTCAGAAGTCACAAATCTCAACTTCTGAAAGGTAGAAGACCGCTTAGAAGGGGGATGAGAAGTATGACATGAGGAAGTCTCGATGTTACTGTTGTAAGAAGTTTGGCCATTTCACTGTTGATTGTTGGTTAAACAAGGAAAGGAAGTCAAAAAAAAGTAATCATAGCCAAAGAAGATTATGATGATGAACGCGTGTATTTGATGGCTTATAAGTCTGATAGTGCATATTTGATAGACTGGTGGTATATGGACACTGGCTGTTCAAATCACCTAACAGGAAACAAAAATGGCTGATTAATTTTGACTCTAGAAAGAGGACAAATATCAGATGTACTAATTATAAATACCTCAACATTGAAGGAATGGGAAATGTCAATGTTAAGGTGAAGAATGGTAAAACTGTTCTGATCAAGGATGTTTGGTATGTTTCAGACATGAAGAGCAATCTGATGAGTGTAGGTCACCTTATTGAGAAAGGTTTCTCAATTACTATGAAGAACAATCTCTTGAAGTTATATGATTCTAATCAGAAGCTGATTATACAATATAAGCAAGGAAGCAATAGAACATTCAAGGTGACTATGGAGACAACTGAAACTAAATGCCTTAGTGCAAGAGGCATTGAAGGTGACAGTGAGTTGTGGAACAAGAAATTGAAGCATCTTAATTTAGGAAGATGGTATATGGCATTACCAAGATTGTGAAGCATGATAAGTCATGTGAGATATGCATGAAAGACAAGCAACCTAGATTTCCATTTGCATCAAAAGTAGCCCCAATAGTAAAGCATGGTTTATGAGTAGTATATTATGATGTTTGTGGACCATTTGAAGTATCTTCACTTGGAGGAAACAAATATTTTGTGTCTTTTGTGGACGAGTTCACAAGGATGACATGGGTAGCTCTCGTCAAGTTTAGGCCTGAGGTATCTGCTGAAATTTAGAAGTTTAAGGTGAAGGCTGAAAAACAGAATGGTCAGAAGCTGAAAGTTCTCAGGAATGATGGTGGAGGTGAGTATAAATCCATGAAGTTCAGAAAGTTTTATAAGGAGAATGGAATGTATGAGGTGACTGATTCATACACTCATCAACACAATGGTCTTGCTCAAAGAAGAAACCGAACTTTGCTTGATATGACAAGGAACATGCTAAAAGAGAAGTATTTGACTCACAACTTATGGGAGAAGTTGTTGCCACTACAACATCAGTTGAGTATGAAAATACCCGTTATCACCACCACCCAATTTCAGCTAATTAATCTTAGATCTTTGTCTAAGAACTTGTTCCTCTGTCTCACTCTAATGGAAAACCTTTTCAGTTCTCTCCTTTACCAACTTAATCAGCTCAGTATTATCCAAGTCATTCTTAAGCTTGTCTTAGGCATCTAACAAGTTTGTCCTGGCCTGCTTCAGATGATGAGATGCACCCATCAGAGGCTTACTCAACTTATTGATAATACTTTGGAATCTAATAAGCTTTCTCCATATCACATACATAGGCCTGCCCCTTATAGGAGCATGCCAATTGTTAACAATCTTGTCTTGAAACCCCTCCACATTCACCACATTATTGAGGAATTTGAATTGGTAAGTTTTCCTACAGTGATTATCATGATTCTCAAGGTAAAGCAAAACATGATCAGAAATGCCAAGAGCTAAGATTCTAAGAGTCAAATTCATATACTTTTGGTGCCATTCTGTGTTATCCAGCCCGTAATTTATTCTAGAGTATATGGTGTTGTCACTATGTTTGTTAGAGCAAGTATAGTAGTCACCAACTGTGTCCATGCTACTCATATTAGCTCTTTGCATCATATAAGCCAAATCCTTGTATTCATTCATATGAACTAAGGTCCCCCCTCTTCTATTTATTGTTTGCAGCACATTATTGAAATCACCAATTAGGAACCAAGGCCCCTGTTGATTAGAATGGATCTGCTCAAGCTTCTTCCACAACTTCTTCCTTTGCTCTAGCTAATTAGCACCATAGATAGCAGTCAACCAATACAAAAAGTTCCCACTTCTGTCATAAACATTGTAGTGGATCACTTGCATAGAACTATTGACTTTCGTGATTTCAATATGAGAGTTATTCCACCAAACCCATATCCTACCATTTTCATGATTCTCATAATTGTCAATGTACTTTCCCTTCAATTTCATCTTGCATATGATTTTATCAGCTTTGTCCCGCTTAACTCTGGTTTCAATCAACACACAAATCATGGGGTTAAGAATGGTGAGGCAGGAGCTAACTTCTTTAGTCTTAACAACTTTATATAGCCCCCTCACATTCCAAGACACTAACATTGGACCCTGTTTTGACTACTTAGAGGATCATTCAAAATCCCTAGTAGTCCAAAACCGTTTTGAGAATGGATTGAGGTACCTTCCTTAGAAATTCCCTTGCCTTTATCCCTTCTGTTGCTTGTAATTCTTGACCACTCATCATTTTCATCATTTTGATCCTCCTCTGCTGTTTCAGATTGCACACTTTCCATCTTCTCTTCAACATTGGTTTTCACCTCTTCTCTAATTTGTACTTCCTTAACTTTAGGCCTCAATTCCTTGGCTTGTTTAGCAGGTTTTTCACAATTGTGCCCAACCTTATGGCATCTTCTATGGTATAGGGGTTTCCATTCGTATTCTATGGGTTGCTTCAATCGGTCTCCTTTTTTATCTCTGATCATAATGTCAGACTTCAGGTCTTGGGTGATGTCAATTTCCACCAATATTCGCGCATACGACATCCTAAGCTTATTTGATGTGCATTCGTCTGTCACCAATGGCGTACCAATTGCACTCCCAATTTTGCTTAGGCTACGTGCTCCCCATAAGTGTAATGGCAACTGAGGGAGTTTAACCCACAACGGGATCGTTCTGAGCATGTACTTGTTCAAGCTAAAATCAGGTTTCCAGTCACGGACCATCATTGGTCGATTATGAATTGTATACGACCCTTTCATTATCACTGAATGCTTGTCTTGGAACGAGTGGAATCGCAGGATGAAAAACCCTTCTTCATTGTAAAACATATCCGGTAACTTCACAAAATTCCAGTTCTTCATCATATATTGCTTCACTGTGTTCATACTTAGATCTTCTCCAAGTACATACATGATGAGTGCAGATTCCTATAATTTCACTTACGTTTCAACATCAGCTGCTTCGATTTCGATTTCAACTTCTCCATCGACTATCTTTGGTGCAACAAATTCCATGGTTAAACCTTTCACAAGGTTTTGATTTTCGTTGATATTTTTCGATGTACTGTATATGTAATTAACATTATTTAAACTATATGAATTCAAACTTATTAAAATGAAGGCTTAAATGCAGTTTTAGTTCCTCTATTAACATATTTTTAACTTTATAATCTCTCATTAAAAAAATTCAGGTTTTTGGTTCTCAACTTTATTTTTTTTGGGATTTTTTTGGTCCCCTTCAATTTTATATATAGCAGTGATGATTAGGATACATTATTTATTTTTAATAAGATGACATTGTGGATTGGGATAAAAATTTATTAAAAAATATTGAATAATATTTTTAATAGTATTATAAATAATTATATTTAAAAAATCAAAATTAAATTTAAATTTTATACAAAATTAATTAATTAAAATATTTGTATAGAATAAATTTAAGTTTAATATTTTTTAAGGAATAAATTAATTAATAATTAATATTTTAATTTAGATTTTTAAAAATTAATTAATCAAAATTTGAATTGAAACATTTTGGCTTAATGGCCTATTTTGGCCCACATTCAATCTTTTCCATGTATTTTTACTCTTAAGGTTTTTTAGTATATGGCTTTGATATATTTCATCAACACAAGACATGTTCTTAGTCCTTAAGTACTGATTTTTATTGAATAAAGAAGATATCACTTTCAAAGTCATATTCAACAAATAAAAGGAAATTAAGGAAGCAAGAGATGAGGTATTGAATATTCTTCTGTCATGATTCTAACAACAACTTTGCAAAGCTACAACCTTCTAACGTCTTAGCTTGGCTATGACATCAGCTGATAGTTATGATTCTAACGTCTTAATTTATTTCTACCTTATGATAGTCATGGAGTTCTTGAGTTGGCTATAACTATAGCTTCACAAGTGGGACTTCATAAAGTTGTAGCTTGGCTATGGAATCAGTAATAAGCTTCCACCTTTCCAATAATGCTCTTGGGTTAATGTATTTTTCTTTGGCATTTGCATTTTATTTTACAACTAAAATTCCACATCGAATTTGTAATAACAACAAATAAGTGCTTATAAGGCTTTTTAGATCATGTTTTATTAAAGAGCATTTCTTTTCTCACTTCATGTATTTTTTATGCACTATATGGAATTTTTATTATGTCTTCCGTTTTTAATATATTTTCAAACCTTTAAACACTCACAACATATCTCGCATAATTATTTTTATTTGAATATTTTACATCTATAATTTTTTTTCGAAAATACATCTCTGAAGTGTATTCAAATATATATTTTTTATAACGTGATGTATATTTGTTTGTAGATGAATTATGACACACGATCTCGAATAAAATAATAGACATACAAAATAATATAGTAATAAAATGTCGTACGACACAAAATCCAAAATGTAGTAACAATGTTAGGGAAAACGTACAAACTATAGTTCTGCAACAAAATAAATACAAACAACTACTGGGTGTGTCTGGCAACCTCTTCTCTACCTCCTCTGCCTGGTGTGTCTCCTCGGCCATTGATCACCCCGTCCTCGCGCGATGTTTGTGGTACAATAGGGCCCCTTGTGCCTCCGCAACCATGACATCCAGTACTCGCCGCAGAACAGAGCCCTCAGGGAATATGCCCTAGTCAATGCCTGCCCGCGCAATCTCCACTATGGAAAGACACCAAGGCAAGACATCCTCGATATGATCTAGCAGAGTCTGCTCCTCCTCTAGAATATCCTGATGAGCGGGTCTCGACGGATCTCCCGGAACAATCGACACCATGCATGGATGTGAGACCCTGGAGAACCACCAGATGTATCCGTCGATGTAGCTTCAGTCATTCGACGCTATGGCAGCATGAGCCTCATCCGGTACCAGATGAATATGATAATAAACAAATATCTCCTCTATCTGTATGAGAGTCAAGAGAAAGAGTAATAGAGACAACATGGTGTCTAGGGATGGTCTGAGTGTACCCGAACTACTGCATGACGCACTCAGGAAGATGAGGAGCAGTGATACGCGATTCGCAGGCCAACCATCTGGAGTATAACGATATATCGTCAAATGGTCGTGTCTGACAGTGATCCACATAGCAGTTGAAGTGGATTTCCTCGGCAGCCAAGCGATCAAGATAGACTCTAAAAGGCTCGACCGCCTGATTTCCTCTTAGCGGGATAAAAGCACATACACGAGGCATATCCTCAGTGTACTCTTCCCAACACGCCCAGCCAGTGATGTGCGGGAAGTGCTGGAGAATCCAAGTCTGAAATGAAAATAAAAGCATTCAAGGATCAAGAATCATCCCAAATATTAAAAAAAAAGTATTCAAGGATAAAAAATTATTACCACCGGTAGTATCGTGCTGCCTGTGACCTGCTTCATCCTCCACTGACATCCGTCTCTCAACTTCGAATCTAGATAGGCCAGACAAGCCGCCCCTCAGTTATACTCATGGATCTGTGTGAGATCCAAGAAGTATCGGAGGTATGCAACATTAGTATAGGTGACACTCGTGTCTATAAAAATCATAGTGTCAACTAACTAAAGTAAATACGCCCTTAAAGCATGAATATTGTGCAAGGTCACCTGCTAGATATCACCATCAGTCTGTTGTGCAACAACAATCTCATCATCAAATAACCTCTTCAGGAACGAAAACCTAACATGAACATCCCTGGTCCTATCCAGCTCCTCAAACACCTTCCCTGGATTAGCCCCCAGATGTCCACCACCATATCGACTCCCTCGTCTCTGGTCATCCTACCATGATGGAGGAATCTCCCCCTAATCGGAAGATACAAAAAAGACGAGACATCGTCCAGGGTGATAGACATCTCACCATGTGGCAGATGAAAATAAGACGTCTCAGAATGTCATATCTCTAATAATGCATTAAGCAACCCATGGTTGACCAGAGTGTAACCGGTCAAGCATAGGTCACTCAATCCAGAAGCAGTCAGAACCGACTGAAACCACTGCTCATCTGGATGATGCGATGCTAAAATCTTCTGCCGATGGTTCAAAAACTTCTGGGGATCACGCACCTGCGAATTTCCAAAAATAATGAATGTCAGTAAGAATCAATGTTATAATTAATCAATGTAAGAAACTTAAATTAGTGTTAAAAAAATAAATAAAAAATTAGACTAATGTTACCTCCCCGTCCCAGATATGTCTGACAGTATGGTCTGGATATAGAGGAAGTAGGGACATATCAGATGGACCACCTCTGAAAGCTTCTGGCTCAGCATCAACAACCTCACCCTCCAGAGGTGGCACTGATGCATCAGGATCATCAACAACCTCACCCTTTGGAGGTGGCACCAGATCAACAAGAGGTGGCACAAATGCATCTTGATGTCTGTGAGAGGATGAGGGAAGTGATGCATCATCTGGTGCATCCCGTCTCCCGCGAGAAGAAGAAGAGGGTGAAGTGGTCTGAGATGTAGATGGAGTATCCTGAGGTGAAGGCCGAGCCCTAGGAGTGGACTGCGCCACATGAGTGGACTGGGCCTCAGGAGTAGACTGCGCCTCAGTAGTCAGCGCCTCTCCTTGACTAGAGGTACCTGCTGCCTCTAAAACCCGCTGGTTTCGCTCTTGCCGAACGGATGCATTCTGGGAAACCCATTCAAGTCTCAATCGATCGGCTTTGTTAGTCATTATGTCTGCAAGGTAAAATTAGTCGTATAATGAGTTTACGCAAAAGAGCAACACGAACAAGAATATTATAAAAAAACAGACTAAGGAAATTCCAGAGATATATCTACAGAAATATTCCGGATATGTATCTCCAGAATTTCCCAAAGTACATGAAACATTGATTTTTCCCGAAGATTTATCTCCGAAATTTTATGAAACTCAGAGGTCGCGACAATGGCGTCCTCTGTTATTCAGAGTGAAAAATAAAGTCCTGATCGTCCATTTGAGCCAACAAATAATACACTCACTCTAAACTATGTTTCATCTGATTTCTAAACATTTTGACACCTAACAATGGATTCTAACTCGTTTACAACAAAACTTGAATATTTTTCGAAAACTCAAAAAACTTACCAAGAATGTATGATTTGGAAGATGTTGAATGATGAAATAGGTGATTACTTGAGCCTCGAACAGATGAATTGACAATTTGGTGAAGTTGGAGAAATTTGAGAATGAGAGAGTGGAAGAGTTTTGCGAATGCAAATGAAAAGTGTGGGAGGAGAAGAGTTTGATACGATAATAATCTCCAAAATGTTTCGGAGATATATCTCTAGAATATTTCGACGTTCACTTATGTTTAGCTGCGTCTAGAGATATATCTCCGAAATATTTTAACGTTCAATTGAATATTGATGTGTCCGGAGATATATCTTCGGAATCAATGGGCATATATATGTAAAAAGTCACATGGTGTGGAAGAAGTCCATAGGATGCAAAAAGAAATCTTCTTTGTTAAAACTTTAATGTTAGGTTTCTAGTATAAAGAAAGTGGATTATAGACCCAAATAATATCTTTTAAAAATTGTAATAGATAAGTGTTTATAAGGCTTTTCCGATCATGTTTTGTTAAAAATATATAATTATTAAAAGTATAAATAATAAAGTTTTTAAGAAAATAAAATAATAAAATTTTAAACTTTTAATTTTTTTAATAACATGGCGCCACATAATTTGGGCCACGTCAGACTTGTCAAATGCCACATCTACAAAAGTAGAAGGGGACTAAAAAAAATCTTAAAATGTTTAATGAAAGGATCAAAAGGTAGAATTTTTTTTAAAGGCGGACCAAACATTAAAAATATTGAAATAAAGAGACTAAAAGTGTATTTAAACCTAAAATAAAAATGTGTATTGCAAATATTTGTTTACACATGTTTTGTATGACACTTCCAACTGCAGATGCATCCCTACCAAGTTGAGCCCGCA